AGCGGAAGCCCCTTCGGCACAAAGCCGACGCTATCCTCCGAGAAATTTCGACACAAGCATTTCTCTTTCGTTCGAGCAGATAACAATTAGGTGCGCGCCCGGCCCCGAGAGGACGGTTTTTATGCGGTGACACCTCTGACATCTCGTCGTTACCGATCGACCTGCCCGCATAGAGAGACGCGTGCCCGAGGGAAAAGGGTTCCCTCGCTAAGGCGAACGCGAGCTTACCTCGCATCGGGGGACGCGAGCGATTATAGCGCTCGAATCGTAGACGCTCGAGATCGTTCGCGACGATCGATCCCAATCGATCGATCCCGGCAGACCGATTGATCATTCGCGAAAGAAGCGAAGTGGGTAGACGCGCGCGTTCGTAGAAAGAGATATCGCGGGATCTCCGCGGGTGGATTAGAACGATTATAGGTCTTTTGTCAACGGACGCTCGTCGATTGAGACACGTGAGACGGTTGACGGTGTGCGTGCGCGCGCGCGCGCGTGTATGTGTGTGTGTGTGGCTGCGTAAGAGAAAATTCGTCTCATCTCGCGACACATCACCTCCGCAAGTGGGTGACTTATTACGGAATTTTCTTCATTTCTCATTGGCATATTCGCGCGTATTACGGATACAACGGAGAACGGCGATGGCCGGCGAGACGCCTGCGTGGATCGGACGAGAGCCGCCGTGGGAGCGACGATTATTAGCATCCGCGGACATTGCTGGTTCGTAATGTCGCCGAACAATCTCGTGATTTTCCACAGCGCATAAATTTCCACTACGATGTTCGCTGTCTTTAATGGCACCTAACATCGTTACAGCCTCTTCTGCGCGCATACTCGAGCCGCGCCGCGCGACCACTCGTATCTCGTATTTCTTTTCTCCTCCCTCGCAGCGTCGCTCGGCGTCTCTCCTAGGACCTAGGACCGATCGACATGTGGCGCGATAATTAACTCGGCGTGCGATAACATCGCGCGCGTCGCGGCGCGGTGGCGAACGCAGGGGGGAATAAGATACGCGAAGAAACGAGCCCGCGCCGAAATTGAGAAAAACATGGAACTCGTCCCTCTAATGAAATTCCTCCGAGTGGAGTGTCACTCGAAAATTCGCTCGGAGCGGCTTACTGAAGATACTGAGCCGCTGAGAATCGCAAGGACGAATGTTTCGTTCGAGCACAGAGCAATTCTCTCACTCGTCGCACAGTGGGGCCAGATGACATTCTTTGGTTCAAAATTCTCCAGAGACCTGAATTTCCAACCGATCATCGACACCAATGGATGAGGTCCTGAATAAATTCCGAAGAGATCTGTCTTGCCAAAATTAAATAAAAAAAATTTTTTTCCCCAATTACTAGCCCCAAAAGAGGAAAAATTATCGTTAAACGCGAGAAGCTTGTGAAATACTCATTATTCGATACTTATTTCTATCTAATAACGGATCATGCTAATGTCAACGGTGATTACTTTCTATCTGCGTATGATAACTTATGAGCTGAGGTTTATAAGTTTTGGGCTCATGGACCATCATCATCAGGTTAGGGTTGGATATTTTGTTCAATGTTCTTCATGTTTTTACTTATTGGGTTACCATATGGCTTAATTCTTTCTTAATGTGGACTGAAATAATGAGCTGTGAAATTCTGAGTTTTCTAAAAGGTGACTATAAGTTCTGGGGGGTCTCGCATTTAGTATCCATAGGCTCGAACCCGAATTGAGATCGAACCCAAGACACTGTACTTTGATAAACTTTTAAGACAAATCCTAAACCCATGAACCCTGAACCGATAACTTTTTCAAAATTTCGGCTAGACAGATCTCTTTGGAATGTATCCAGGATCAACCTCATCCATTGGTGTCGACGATCGGTTGGAAATTCAGGTCTCTAGAGAATTATGAACCAAAAAATGTCATCTGGCCCCACTGTGTGCGTCAGGGCGAACGTATCGATCCATCGACTCGAGAGGAAATTATTCGACTCGCTCTGGTCGTTCAGCCCGATTCAGCCCGATTCAGCCAGTACGAGCTGAGAAACATCGCTCGGCTCTGTCGCTTTCCGCGAGCGAAACTTCAACGAGTAGGCACTACCTCGCACGGAGGATACATCGCCGCACGCACGCACGCACGCACGCACGGCGGAGAGCAGTTAATCCGAGCGGCTATCGTCTATTTCCAAGGAACACACGCGCGCGCGCGCGCGCGCGTCCGGCGGGAAGGACGAGCGCACGAGCACGTGTCGTGATTGTAGTTTATGGGGAGCTGATTGCGGGAGCGTGGGACGCGCTCCGCCGGTGGATCGCCCGGGACGCCATTCATCGGCCATACTTACGTATCCATTCCGGTGTCAGTGTTTCGTTTCGTAATCATTAAGATATGCATTATCCCCCTAATGACGAGCGGCAAGGCGCAACGGCGTGTCCGATCGGGGTGACTCTCCGTGGCGGCGAGGGCGCGCATAAATTTCGCGTAAAGGGTCTTCTTCGCCGGCCTCTTACGCGCGCTCGATGCTGATTAATGCGATCGCGCCCGGCGTCGAGCGTGGCCCGCTATTAATTAGCTCGTCCCGTCGTCTCCTTTTCTCTCGCTCGCGAGAGTCTCTCGCTCTCTCGGAAAAGCGCGCGCGTTGATCGACGCGGCGCTTAATGTAGATAACGTCTCGGCTCGGCTCGGATCAATTTAATCGCAGCTCGGCCGCTCGCGCGCACCGCGCGCACGCTTTGGCCGCGGTTTCGCTCGCAGCAGCGGTCGTCGTATTTACCGAGACGTAATCTCGCGGTTACAAACGAAAACCTCGGCTAATCCCGAGGCGCAGCGCGCGCGCTCCTTTGGGTTCCTAAGGCTGGGTCTCGGAGCGAGCGAGATTTCGCGCTTTCTTTCTCTTTCTCTTTCTCTTCCTATCGCTCTTACCATCCTCTCTCTCTTCCTCTCTCTCTCTCTCTCTCTCTCTTTTTCTCCCGGTTTTTCGTCCGATGCCCGAAGTGATTACACGCGAATCAGACGAGGTATTTTCGCCGCGGCGGGGAACCTGTCCGAAATGTCTAATGTCCCAAGAGGGAAGCAAGAGATCCCCCCTCCTCTCCGTATGCGTCCTAGGAGATGCCGTGCGACGATCTCGTTTCGTCACGGAGGTTCCGCAGGATCGCGTCGGCCATCCGCTCGGAACCGCCGACCGCCCAACTCCCCCTCTCCGTGGGCCGCCGAGCGCGTTCGACGGCCGTTCTCACGCGCGAAATCGGATTTGACGACATTAATTAAACGGAGATAATGATATCGTTGCGATCGCGCGATTACACGCGCCGATGCCGACGCGAGAGAAATCAGCGACACGAGCAGCAGCGTGTCCGTGCAAAATGTCGATTTCGCCGTTCCATTTTCCACCTTCGTCTTGAGCGGAAGTCTCAGACAGCAGCGGCGTCGGCGGCACCGCGTCGCGATCGTGCTGTACCGCGATTCAATTAAACGCGCGATTACTCGGTAAACGTAATTAATTTTAATTAACGATGCGCGCCGAATCGCGCGACCGCGGGAGCGGGTCTCTCTGAACTTTGCGCGATCTCATTGACGAGATCACGCGACGCGCGATGGCACGGAGGCGGCGGCGGCGTGCGGCTTCCACGACAAGAACGTCCACGAGAAGCAGCAGAAGTGACTCTCTTCGCGATATTCACACGGCGATCGTAACCGTCGAAATCAAGAATGATGTCGCATCGCGCATCCCGAAGAAATTAGGCCTGCGTCAGTAAAGTATATTTCAGTCGCGTTCGCTCGAGAGAGAGAGAGAGAGAGAGAAAGAGAGAGAGAGAGAGAGAATCGATCTCGAGAGCCGCAAAAAGTATCGAGACGAGTGGTACCCCGAGAATGTTGGAATTTTGGTTCCACATTAACCCGCCAACTTGTCACCAAACTCGAGAATTTAAAGCTACGACGCTATACAAGTACAATACAATGTTCCGTTTTTAATGAAAACAGGCGACAGAGACAATTTGTATCACCGAGGTAGGAGGTCGTAATATAACATCGCATACCTCGAGAAAGAATCTCTCGTTGATCCTCCGAGAGTCCGAGAGTCAACTTTCCTTGTTCGCGTGGAATTAACGTGGAACCAAAATTTCGACTGAGAATACCGCGGGCGAGCTCTTTGCCCCCTCGCTACCTCAGCCGCTCTTCCAGCCGATCGTAAAGCGCGAGAGCCGCGTCGAATTCGCGAAGGAAATCGGCGCGGATCGGCCGCGGGAATCGCGCGATCGCACGATATCGACATCGACATCAATACCGCCGGGGGAGGGAGAGCCGAGCTCGAGAGCTCGAGCGTATCGCGACCGCGACCGCGATCGTCTCTCGTGGGTGGTGGAGGAAGGTCGCGGTTCTCTCTCCGAGGCGGAGCTGGACGCGCGACCACCTCCAGCGCGCTGAAATTACCTGGCAGGTGACCAATGCAGCCGTGCCGATAAAGCCGTGAAAGAGCGCGGCTGGGACCGACGTTAGAGGCTCCTCGAAGGGGCCCCACGACGAAGGCGGAGCCTTCCTCCGGCTTTCCTCCTTTCCGTGCCTGCCTCTCTCGGTTTCTTAGCGTGCCCCCCGACGACCGCGACCACGGGTCTGCAGGTACCGGCAGTTCGAGTCGAGACCCCGAAGCCACCAGGTCCCGCTTCGCTTCGCAGTAAAAAAAAAAAGAAAAACATAAAAGGAAAGACACGAGCCTGCTCTGCGTCTCGGCACGGCGTGGTGGAATTCTACGAAGGACTCATTGTACGTCTTTTCACGATTTTTCGCCACCTTCTCGCCGTTCGTTCGTCATCGCACCGGACGCACCGTTGGCGAGTGTGACACACGCCGGGAAGTGAGGATTCGAGTTGTGAGCCGGGTATCGGGGTGATCGAAAGGGTGGACTTTGAGGACTCGCGGGTTCTGCAATTTTCTTGTGGTAGTGCTGGCGGTGTTACCGAGGAGGACAGAGAAAGAAAGAAAGAGAGGAGAGAGAGAGAGAGAGAGAGAGAGAGAGAGAGAGAGAGAGAGAAGGAGAGAGAAAGAGAGGGATAAAGAGAGAAAGAGAAAGAGGGAGAAAGATTGGAAGCAACAGCTAGATGGCAGTCAGCACTCTCAACATGGCACCCTACTTCACTGGATACCCTTTCCAAGGTGCGGATTCTGATAACCCGGGAGCTCCCGAGCTGTCCGGAAGCGACGTTAGACAACTGTAACAATCTAGCGACTTTATTCTAACTGTGAACAATTTAGATATTATTAAGTTAGATGTTAATGTCCTCGAGTGTGAACATTCATTCGGATATCGGGGTGTAGTCGTTCGCGCTACCAAATCGATAGTGAATTCGAGTCAATCAAGGGAGACACCTCGGCGAAGCAACGCATCCGAGCGATGGACTTAGCATCGCCGAAACGTTCCGTTCCACTTCCGGTGCGGTGTTAAATTCAGCGGAAAACAGCGGGCGGCGCGGCGCGACCCGACTTCCGTTACTCCGAGAGATACTTCCGCGTCTCGCGTGGTCTCGCGCAATGAACGTAAACGTGAATTTCACTCGCGGACCTCGCTCGGAGGCCTCGCGCGGCCGTCGCTGCGACAGCCCCGCCGTGACGATTTCCAGCCGATGTTTAATGGTTTTACGAGCGCACGTCGACTGAATTATTCGCGGCTCTCAATAATAACGCGACTGCCATCTTTACAACGCTTTATAACTGTCCGATCCGCGAGATCGGCCCGATCGATCGATTGAATTTGGAGCTTTACCGGCCGCGAAAACAGCCGCCTGTCTGTGTCTGCAGGTTCCGCGCGTCGTTACGTAATTCGCGGACGCAAGGACTGGTCGAGCGCTCGGTGTTTCGCAATAACACGCGTGTGGCGCGTATCGCCGACTATAATGATTTAGAAGACTGAAAAGAGAGATCGCATACGGAAGCCCTCGCGTCGTGTAATTTATTCCGCATTGTGCAATTTACGAAGCGGAGAACGTCGCGCGCGCGTCAACAACGTGTACATGTCGCGGGGCGGTCGAAGCGAGAACTCCGCGAATTTTGTGGGAAGCTTCCTCTTTCCCTTTGACCTCAATCGGCTATATTTTGTGCGTAACCCCCCCTCCCCCCCCGTCGGTCCAATTTCAGTCTTTAGTCACTCACGCCACGTGGTCACCCTCCCACGTTGTCGTTATATTAATCTGTTATAACACGTTGACTGCCGCGCTGTTTCCCATCGACTGTTTCGAAGCTCAGCTACAATTTCAATTACCAAAGACACGCGTAAATAAATGCGATTCGCATGAACCCTGAATATGTTATGTGCAATTCACCGCACGTCTCGGTGCGTCAATCGGTGAGACGCGGCAATGTCGGTCACTGGTGACTTCCATGACGGTGCGAACGCGTCGAGCAACGATTTCACGATACTTACTAAGAGCACCTGAAGACTATGCTTCGTCTTAAAGAGAGTTAAAATATTAATCCTTTGCACTCGAGGAATATTTTCACATTTTCTTCCACCAATTCGACAGATATAATTTCTGAGTTCCTAGAAAAACTACAAAAAAAAGGGTCTTTGTTTCCTTCAATGTTGTCACCGCATTTTATTGCTCTGTTATATTACTCTCTCTCTGTCTTTAAATCTTTCTTCGCCAGCACAGCTGGCATTCCGAGTTGCCGGGATAAATGTTTGTGCCGGCTGTACTTGCGCCGGCATTCCGAGCGCAAAGGCTTAAATATCAAATATCAAGCGAAAATTCCACCACTGGCGCGGGCCACCAATGGCGAGCAAGAGGCACGTGTCGAGATATACTTGATCAAAAGTTAGGATACTCCAATTTCACAGCGAGACGCGTAAACCAAATTGTCGCGTGCCAAATATTCCGTGCAAGCCTGCCTACTCGTACGCGCCTCGATACGACGCTAAGGACGAGGCGAGTGAAAGAGGCAATAATGACGATACGTAACGTAACGAGACTGTCCAGATGGCGAACGGACAATCCGGATCGCTTTCACTCACGCGCGCGCCTTTAAATCTCAATTGTTTATACACCGTTCAGAGGCACCGCGCGCGCGGCAAGCAAGCGGCCAGCCGGGCACTTTCGAATAAAGTTCGATCCGCGCGTAGTGGGCGTCGGAACACGACGTATGAAAGAGAGTCCCGAGAGGTACGTTGCCGCCGACCCCGTGGGTACCTAATGTCTGATATCGGATAGGCCGCGGGCGACGGCACGTTGATTGAAGCCTTCGCGACTCGGAACTCACACCGCACGCTAAGTACATGCATATCCCTTTGGTACATGCGGTTACTCCCACTCAGGTATGCGCGTGTACCTTCCGCTCTCATCTTCCACGCATCGGACCGCCTATAGTGACGAGAGATCGCGGTCGTTTCGCGGCAGATTGCGTAATTGACGAAACGTCGGCCCTCCGTGCCCGCGAAATCCAGCCCTTCGCTCTCCCTCTCTCTTCCCCTCCCCTCTCTCTCTCTCTCTCTCTCTCTCTCTCTCTCTCTCTCTCTGTCTCTCTCTCTCTGTCTGTCTGTCTGTCTGTCTGTCTATCTTTCTCTCGCTCTCTCGAGTTTCCTTCGGACTCACGCTCGCTCTCGTGAGATCGTCTAATGAAACGGGTTTGTCAAAGACGCCTATCTTGTGTGATCCAGCTGTCAATCAGGGGTTATCGATTAATTTTCTCGATCAAGACCACGCGCAAAGTCTTGAATGACAAACTCTCTCGCGGAGACGTGCGAGAATCGTCCGGCGTATACTTAATCACGCGAAAATTGGATCGGTCGCGCGCCCCGGGGCTCACCCTTGATGCAATTCAATTAATACTCCGATAACGTTGTTATTACCGTTTAAGAGCGATAAGCGGTCGCGACAAGGGGACGAATTAGCATAAAGAATAATCTGGGGGCGGCGGCGGGGAGGAGGGGGGAGGGATAGAGAGAAAGAGAGCGAGAGAGAGAGGGAAGCGGACGTAATTGCACGGCTCGAGCGCGAACGCGAATGTCGCGGGGCACAAAATACAGTTCGTCGGCTCTTCGCACGTAATAATTTATTACCGAGGCAGATATGAGAAAAAGGTTTATAATTGACGCCTGTGTCGCGGCCCGCATTACCGCGCGGGTAATGAGCGTCCGGCCAATAACGTGCACCGCAATTATTTGGGAATTCTCTAGGTTCCTCCGTGTCTAAGAACCCGTCGTCAAGCCTCGGCCCGACGACGACGACGACGACGGCGCTGCCTCGCAGGTAAAAATTAACGATGCGCGACGCTTCGTCGAACGAATTCAAATCAGAGGGGTCGCCCCCCCCCTCCCCCGCCCGCGCGACTCTATCGCGTCACATCGTACGCGCGGATCATGGATATTAGCCTGATCGCTGACAATCAATCGCCGGTTATCAATAATTCATGCTGAAAATTATTTCTTCTACCGTTTCCACCACGCGCTCCTCCTCCGACGCGCTCCGGCCGCTGCGCTCGTACAGGGTGGTCCTCCTCCCTCCTCCAGCCGAGAGTCCCGCGAAAATGATTACCGCGACCGCGCTATAATAAATTACGCGAGGACATAAATCACTCAGCAGCTCGCTTGCGCGGATTAAATTGTCCTCTCGGCATATAGTCGTGTTTTAAAATCCAAAATAAATGTTGTGGCGCGCTAATAGAGGGAAATAATAATTCGATGAATTATACCCGACGCAGCCCCCTCCCCCCGACTTTCTCCTCGCCGTCTGTTGTTTCCGCGCGCGCGCACGCATTCCTCGTTTATTATTTGTTCAACTTTGATTTCGTGATTTATCTCGTCATCGGGTATACTCGCGAGATCTTCGAGTGAACCATTTCTCTCTGGAGAAAATAGCTACACAGGCTTTCACACGCGCACGCGTGTGTGTGCGTGTGTGTGTGTGTGTGTGTGTGTGTGTGTGTGTGTGTATGCATGCGTACGTGTGTTGTGTGCCGCAATCGATACCGAGACTAATCGCAACGAACGCAGTGGGAAACTCGCGAATGCATGTAGAGACGGCGCGTTTCGCAAGCATAGGTCGAACAATCGACAGATAGGGAACAAAAACACGAGTAAAGGGCTCGCTCGCGCGCGCAGTCGGTATATTCACGCAACTTTCGATTCCGTGACTCGAGTTACGGTCATCGGAGTCCGTAAAAATGTGTCTCGCGCGAACGGAGCGGCTACGTGCATTCGCACGTCTTGCACGTGCGAGCGGATGGTAGTCCAGCGGCGTTCTTCGCATTCACCTCGTGCCTGACCTATTCATTTGCGCCGATTCTTCAATAACGAATGCAATCTCCGAGTGGAGATAGCTCGATGAGAAAAAGCTCATCAATAGCTCTATTAGCACCCCGTTCTTCTTAACACGTCGACTGCCCTACACGCTGATTTCCACCGATTCTTTTGATGATTCAACTCAAAGCTTGCATCACCAAAGATACGGTAAATACACGCAGCTCGCGATGCGTGTATTTGTTAGCTCGCTTCACGGCCATCCTATCGGCTATATGTTTAATCTTTTTCACATGGAATTTCAAATGGAATTGGCAAGATCACGTTTGATGTACGAAGCAACGTTAGATAATGTCAACGTGTTAATTATCCCGCTCTTAATATTTTTCTCCTGTTAACGTAACCGTTTACAAAGCATCCAGCTGTCGAAAAAACGAGAGAAAAGTTGCTTAAAGCACACAGATTTCCCTCGTCTCTTTCTTCCTCTCTTCAGTTCTACAAGGATCCCTCATCCCCATCCTCATCGAGAGCGCTACGTTAAATACGTTCTTTGTCTCTTCTCAATTAATTACTCGCGAAATGCGTCGATTTGATTTCCAAGTTCGAGTCAACAAATCTGCTCGAGATTCACGCCAGAAATATCCGCGGACCTCGTCGACCGACAACTCTTCGTCGTCGTCATCGGAGCGGCGGCGGCGGCGGCGGCGGCGGCGGCGGCGGCGATGGTCGGCGCCTTTTGATCTTGCCTGTAATCCCGTCGGGCCCCGCGGCCTGACTGACGTCATACACCGGAGAGGTGTCCGCCGGCACCGTAACCTGGCCTATACGCGTCCGTGCACGGCGAGTGTGTGGGAGTGTGTGCGTTGCACGCACTCGCGGATATGTCCTTACCGAGAGTGCGAGGGGTCTCGCGGCGGGGGCGGCGCAGGGGGAGCGAAGGGGGATGTAAATCTCGAGAGCCGTGATGAACGACGAAACGGGACTACTTTTGTGCCAGAGAGCTGGATGCGCCCGGGAAGGGGGTCGTCTTTTGAATTACGCCGTGGTAATTAGCGGACTCTTAGGCTTCGCGCGCTCTCGCGCAGCAGGTAGCCCCGGCGAGGATATATCGCGAACTGGCACTGCGATCGAGAAAATGTTTGGGTGCCGGGGATTCGCCGGGGACGGCTCGCGAGCTCTCCTCGCCGGAGCCGCTCCGTTCAAACCCTGCGAAACTGCTGTGCCGTGTAGGCTCGTGTTCCCGTCGCTTTCCGACGATTCCGTATTATCAACGAGTGTGTCTGGAGGAGGCTTGCGCTTTTCGAACGGTTCGAGCGATATATTTGTAGAAGCGCGTGTCCTTATATACGGCTTGAGGGTCCGCGATGATGAACGCAATAATGAGAAAGAGAAGAAAAGGGTGGGAAAACGACGATCGATCGAATTGCCGATCCAACGCGGCGTGCCCTTCTCGCGGCGCAGTCCGTCTCTTATGCAAAGTCTCTTTATGCAAATACAAATACGAACGTGGAGAATATGGCCGTGTCGCCGGTTATCCGAGTCCGAGGCCTGTCATTGTCCGCGCGCGGGCGCGCGAAAGAGCGCTTTTAAAGCGCTCCCTCTCCCCCGCCCCCCGGCCGGCGCTTTTACTGCTCCGCGCAAAACCAGGACCGTAACTCGACTCGTGACGCGTCTCCCATCGTGGTTTTCTCGAAGCACGCGAGGTCCACCTTCGGCGTCGTAAGAGCCACCGCAACCGCGCTCGCTCGCTTCCCGGCGTGCATCTCATTCCGCTTCTTTGCCCGCTCTTCCCCCCGCCCGCCGGGTGCGCCCCGTCGCGTGTGTGACGCCGAGTTTGTTTGACTTCGTTATTATAATTAAGTTAATTAAAGGGGGGTGGTCTTCGGGAGGTTGACGATAATTGGCGGTAATTAGCGGCGTTTGAGCGGCCTCGCCTCGCGTGTCGCCGCCGAGCTTTGTCCGGGCTGTATTAGCGACCTTCTTTGTGCGCGAAACGCATTCTCGTCCGCTCGTGGAGAATCCGCCGTTCCGTTCTGTTCACTTTTGCCCGCCGACGCGACTCATTTTTTCCATTGAGGAAAATCGACGCGCGCGCGCGCGCGCTTTTACGCCTGCATTGTGTCCACCGCGCGAAAACACGCTATTTTTTCCGGCACATCGCGCGCTCTTTGCGCAGCACCTGTCTGTGTCGCGCCACGCGCGAGACACGATTTTAGCCCGGCGATTGTTCCGGTACGCGGAACGAGTCTGTAAAATCGCATCGGCCGTTCCGTCGGGGAGCCTTACACGTTTCAAAGCGACGACTTTAGTCGTTACGTTCAATTTCCCGCGAGCGGTCTCGTGCTCGCGCGACCGATTCATCGGGGTCCGCTCGTATAAATATTTCAGCTTCGCACGCGAACAAGTACCGCGGAAATATTTGGACGACAGATGCACGGCCGATACATAGATACGATTTGCCTTATTGCTTCTTCCAGGACAGGGTCGCGTGAACCAACTGGGCGGTGTGTTCATCAACGGCCGCCCGTTGCCGAACCACATCCGACTGAAGATCGTCGAGATGGCAGCGGCCGGCATCAGGCCGTGCGTCATATCGAGACAACTGAGAGTTTCTCACGGCTGCGTCTCGAAGATCCTGAATAGGTATCAGGAGACGGGATCGATCAGACCCGGCGTGATCGGCGGTAGCAAGCCGCGAGTCGCGACGCCGGAGGTCGAGGCGAGGATCGAGGATCTCAAGCGACAAAACCCCGGGATCTTCAGCTGGGAGATACGCGACAAATTAATCAAGGTCTGTTGATATCGCAAATGCGTCCATCGCTACGCCCGCCTGAAGCAACGCTCGACTTTGCCACCGTTCCTTTTCCTCCTATACGAGGTTTGATCAAAAAGTAACGAGAATTTTTTATTTTCTCAGAAAAGTATTTATTTAATCTTCAATGTTTATCCCGTCTCCTTCTAAGTAGTCCCCCTGTGATATTATGCACTTGTGCCAACGTAGTTTCCAATTTGAGAAACACTGGTGGAACGCCTCTATAGTCTATAGCCTCTATATCGTCTTAAGCTGAATCTGCGATTTCGCCTTTATCCGATCTATTGCTGAGAAACGTTGTCCCTTGGAGTGTCCTTTTGAGTTTGGGAAATAGGAAAAAGTCACAGGGAGCCATGTCTGGAGAATAAGGTGGCTTTGCGATGCTTACGCGATGCTGTTCTTGTTGGAAATTCAGCAGTTTCGGAGCAAATTTTGCTGCCACTCGTTTCATGTTCAAAACATTAGTAAAAATCGCTTCGCATGAGCCGTATGAAATTCCTATTTCTTCAGCAACCTCTCTAATGGTGATTCTTCTGATATTAGCAAACACAATCTCTTTAACTTTTTCCACGTTTTCACTGGCACTGGTGGACGTGCTAGGACGTACCAGACCTCGCCAGTCATCTTCGATGTCTTCTCGGCCTTCCTGAAAGCGTTCGTACCATTCATAAACTCGTGGTTGTGACATAGTATCGTCGCCAAAGGCCTTCTTTAACGTTTTCAACGCTTCGCTGCACTTAATTCCGTTTTTAACACACAAAATTTCAGACAAACTCTCTGATGGCGACATTTCGCCACACAAAGAATCGCCAAACACACTGAAGTACGTCTTGCTCATCCGCTCGCCGAACACAAACTAAGCGTCCGAAAATTAACACGTACTGGTCACTGGTAGTGCTACCAACACACAAAAAAAAGAATCAACTGAATAGACAAGATACAGCGCGCGCAATTTCCAAATTCTCGTTACTTTCTGATCGAACCTCGTATTTCTGTTTTTATCTTAATTTTTCCCTTCCTGCATCTTTTATTGGGTTTATCGAGTCTCCTGTTCGGACTCTTTTTATCCAGCGTACATGTTCCCTTTGATCTCATAGTTTCCAGAATATCAGAATATCGGGGGATAAGGGGGGGGGGGAGGGGAAGAAGAGCGAGAAACAAAAGTAATTTGCTTGATTCGCGGAAGAAACGCAGGAAAAAATAATACTAACTGGTCCAACGCGGTTCTGCCAGCAGGACGGAGTCTGCGACAAGGCTTCGGCACCGTCGGTGTCCAGCATCTCCAGACTCCTGCGTGGTCCAGCGAATCAGACTCGTCCTGACGACCCGCGTCGGAACCACTCCATCGACGGAATTCTCGGTAAGTTCTATACGCGCACTCTTTGCGCTTTTGCATCGCCTCTCCCTTGCTTCTCGAAATAGAATTTTCATAAAACGGTTATCCCGATCTATCGAGGTCGTCTTTCGCTTGACGACGACCGAGCGCGGCCGCGTTCTTGCTGAGAAAAGATCTTCAGAAGCGATATGCCTCGCGGTGCACTTGGTCGTTTTAACACCGCATAAACCACCGGGCGCGCGTAAATGAAACACTCGGGGTTAATCGAGCGATAAGCGTAATTACAGCGTAGCCGTGTGTTAGGTTAATTGAGGCAAGGCGACCGTAACGATCGCGGGGCCGTACGTACGCAGCTCGCGTGCTCGCTGAATGTTCCGAGAGATGCGACTCTACGCATTTTTCCCTCCGCCGCAATGCGATCGGGAATCCCTGATCGTTTCGTAGGAAATTTTTCACTGTCGAGACACGTTGGCGCCAATTGTTGCGCTTGTTGTAACGGCGGTTACAACGGCGAAGACAATTCGATCCCTACCTCCGCCATCGCGCGCGCGTGCGCCGGAAGACATCGTTGTTACTCGGATACTTATCGGTATGAATTGTTACCGCTTGTGATATATCACAAGTGTCCCGTCTCGAAGAAATCACATATCGCGGGTGAAGAAGGAGCCGATCTTTGTGCCTCGCGAGAACTCCTCGTGTGCAAAACTATAATCGATAGCCACGTAGCTCTGCGCGACGCTAATCCGCATTTACGCGTACACAATGTGAGCCTTCGGTACGCGCGCCGCCGCGCGAGTGTTTATACGGGAGCGTTATTTTATTTATTGGAGAGCGTCCGGCACACAATTTCTCGGGCACGCTGAGATTGCTAGAAATATAGATCTGGTCGGCGGACGTAAAGGGAATTCCTTTCTTTTTTATTTATCACCGGCGGTAAGGGGCGCGAAGAAATATTAGGCGTCCCGTGGCGCGTGGATGTGTCGAGTTTATTACCTTGTCGGGAAGATTTAGTTTTGATTAGACGTATATGCTCGAGATTGCAACTTCGCGCGAGAATTCGCGGAGGTGCCTGACCTGCGTGTTGCCGCCGCGCCGTCGCGCCACACCGCCACGGAAATCTTATCTCGCTCTTGCAAATTGTCCGCTCCTCCTTCGTATCTCCTTCGTTGTCGATTAAAATTTTGCCTCGCGCGACACGACCTGAAGCGACGGCGCGACGGACTTGCGCGGGGGAATTAAAACGAACATCGGCAAACATTAATTTCCAAAGTGTCGCGATAACGCACACGTATTCTACGGGCAACGATTCAACCGCAAACGCCGGCATTAAAGTCTCCGAGAACACGCGCATAGATCTTTCCGCGCCGTCCGGCCGCGTTCGCGGGCCGAGTAAATCATGCATCATGATTCGAACAAAGGGGGGAAAACAAGAAGAAAGTCGGACGTTGTTCCCGCCGCTAATGCACCGCCGCGCGAAAGGAAAGAGAACCAAGACAAAGACGAGGACGAGGACGAGGACGAGGACGAGGACGAGAACGAGGGGAAGCAGAGGAAGACTAAGTCTTTCTGAACGCGGCTCTCTCGAGCCTTTCCGCGTCTTTTTATTCGATCGCAGCGTGATGGTTTAGTGGCTAAGTCGGCGCGAATGTGTTGGATCGACTTATGACGCGGGCAACGAAGAGATCGAGCGATGAGAGAAACGATGAGGGAAACAGCGAGATAACTGGAGCGATGGATGCGCACAAATGCGATAATGGCGCGCAACGTCTTAGCGGAATAATTTAACAGCAGCGGCAGGATGAAATATTTTTATAAACCCTCGCGCAAATATTTCCCCGGTACATCTCACGCGAATAATTTAATTCGCTATTTATTCATTGTCGCGTCCCTTCTTCTCTCATTACCGCATACTCGTTGTTTAACCCTATTAATGCCAGCTGGGGAAGAAATTTCGCGTTGATTTCAATGTTATGAATTTTTATGAAAATGCTCGGAAATTTTAATCCAAAGTACTAGGGGTTTTCGAGGTCGTTCTTTCCGAATCCGCTGCGAGAATCATAAAAAAATGAGTGTTTGTATTGATTTGTAGCGATCTTTCTCCAAAAAATGCGATTTTTTCTCGTCAATTTTTTTTTAAATCATGGATTTCATCTCGATAAAAATGTTGAATATTACTGAAAAGTACTCCAATCGTGTCCTCAAGACTTGTAATTTCAAAAATATACATCTAAACGTAAAATTTTCTGTACTTTTCAAATCTATAATAAAAATATAAGTAATAAAAAATATAAGTTTTGCACCAAAAAATCAACGTTGGGTCCCGTTAGGCCCAAAAAGTATATCGGACCCAAATTTGGGGCTTACCACGTGAAAGGACTCGATCAACAGAACAAACATTTTATTTTGGATAATTTTTCATAGAAATGATTAAAAAAAAGAATTGACGAGAAAAATCGCATTTTTTAGAAGAAACCGTTACAAATCAATACAAACACTCACTTTTTATGATTCTCGCAGCAGATTCGGAAAGAGAGACCGCGAAAATCCCTAGTAATGTACTTTGGATTAAAATTTTCGAGCATTTCCATAAAAATTCATAACATTGAAATCAACGCGAAATTTATATCCCAGCCGGCATTAATGGGTTTAACTAATTATCCCATTTCAAGAAGCGAGTACGGCGAGCGAAATAGTCGGTTTCGGTGAGCTAAACAAGACCGATCGTACGTAAAAGGTGACGAAAGATCACGGAAGATTTATGTCAGCGATGATCCAACACAATCGAGAAATCCCCGAGAGCACGTGCTTCGATCAGCGCGCGTTCTGCGGCTCCTCTCGACGGAACGTCACAATCCCGGAGCGCGCAGGATCGTCCCGGCGCGGCGCGGCGTGGCGCGGCGCGGCGATTCCGGTAGCCGTGAACACGCGCGATAAATAACCCTCGCGGTCCGTTTCTCGGTAAATGAAATCAGGAGGAACGATCGGGACAAGAAAGAGGCAACAGATCCGGCCGTGGCGGGCGCGGGAAGAGGAACAAGTCAGGTAGAGCATAGCGGGCGAACCTGGAGGAAGAAATCAGGTGGAACGGCTAAAGGGAGCGAACAGTCGAACCCAGTCGAGAAGAAGGAACGGAGACGAGCGTGTGGAGGAGCGCGGAGGAGCGCGAGGAGGACGGGGCGGAGTGCGCATATATACACGGCACACGGCGTGTGGTCTTCTTCTTCGGCTTCGTACCCGCCGCCTGCCTCTAATCTTACAAACCGCCAACAACACATCCCGTGCCCGCCGTTTTGTTCGCGGAACGCAACGGAACGGCACCCTCTATTGATTTAGATGCTGTTACTGCGGGGCAGACTCGTGATTGAGACCTCCGCCGATCTCGCCTCTCGCCCGATAGCGACCCCTGCGCGATAGTAATTGTTTAACACCGGCTTTCCCTGGGACGAGAACGGCCGGACGCTGCGCGATGCGGCGAAAGTATCCGAGAGTGCAATTTATCCGCTCGTGTGTCTCGTCCACGACGAGAACCGACGCCTTCGCGGAGAGACTCGCACGAGTCGATTTACGAACCTAGTCCAAATCCTCCCAGGATCCGCTCAGAAGCGAAGCGCGCGCGAGAAAGAGAGAGAGAGAGAGAGCTGCCCTCGACTCACGATTAGCGCGCACGTGTGATTAACCCGGTGTCCGGTTCGGTCCCGAATTCGTAGAGTATCGGGATCGCGGGCGCTGATAGTTCGCGAAAAGCGCCACGGCCCGAAAAATCGCTAGGTATAACCACCTCCTGAAAGCGTAGCAACGATTTACGAGCGCGCTGCGGTCTTTAATCTGCGAGGGAACCGCCGTGCACTTCGCCGGGCTGACGCTCGCGCGCAGGTGCTATTGATTTAAACGTTCGTTCCCGTTGTTCCCCTGTTGGTCCCGCTATCGGCTTCGTTCGGGAAGAAAGTTTTCACATTTACAGCGATAGAACGCCGCTACGGCTACGATTTATAGTTTGCGATTGCGGGAAACGTACAAGACAACACTCTTATCGATAGTCCGAAAGGAACGAAGAATTGATTATAATATCAGTACTTCATTTATCGACATTTCTCGAACATACACGGCGAAATCCAGCCCAAATGCTGCGTCCGCGAGTCGAGTTATCGTGGGCGGTGTAATTGTTAATCACTCGCGTCAGATTTCATCGGTCAAACACGAAACTTCATAAGTAATGTCTCTAGCACTAGACGACGCGGCGACCCTACTTGAAACGTTGCACGAGCTTTCGTTTAGCTCGGATGGGACGAGACATGTCAAAGAACTTAATTTCTTCGTGGCGGACCCTAATTTCTCTGGTGTTTTAGTTTAGTATAGGTTCGGCTGGCACGGCTGTAATCAGAAGGGTCTTAATGGTGGGTTGCTGAGACCGGCGTGTGAACTGTGGGCGTGAACAACTCGCTTCCTATCTTCGGTATCTGACGTGCAGCACGTGCTGGACCGAGAGACGCTCTCGCCGCTATTAAGTCAAAGAACTCAGGCTCGCGTCCTCCTCCCGAGAGAGCTATCGATGTTTAATATCGCTGTCTAAATTCCGATCGGGCAAATTCGCTTCTCCGCGAAACGGATTTCTTTCGGTTTGTTATAATCGATTTATCAACTTTCCGTTCGTGTGCTCTCCTTGAGAGAGAGAGAGAGAGAGAGAGAGAGACCCATTACTTTGCAAAGTCATTTAATTTTGCAAATAGTATTTGAGCCGAACGATGATTGATTATCTTTAGCTGGAAGCAGCGGCGATGACTCCGACACGGAGAGCGAGCCGGGTATCGCACTCAAAAGGAAACAACGAAGAAGTAGAACTACCTTCACAGGCGAGCAACTGGAGCAACTGGAAGCGGCTTTCCACCGCACGCAATATCCCGACGTATATACGAGGGAGGAACTCGCGCAAAAGTAAGTCAAGTTTCGCGAAGGTTTACTTTTGTACTCGAAGAAGAAATTCAGTCAACGGCCAACGTTTCTTTGTTCTTTCGCGTGAGTTACTGAATCGGGTAGTCGGGCACCGATTTTTGTAAAGAATTCGAGAAAAATATAAAACTGACAGAAGAAGGTGCCTCGACCCGGACCGAGTTGAATTTTTGACGACTGTACGTGACAAAGAAAAAGAAAAAGAACTGCAAAATCAGATCGCATCGCTTCGTTATCGCTCCGAGTCATGGTCATCGCCTTTATTCTTGCTAATGATGCGCATGGATGTCATTCTCCTTTTTCACAGAACGAAATTGACGGAAGCGCGAGTGCAGGTCTGGTTCAGCAACAGGCGTGCCAGGCTCCGCAAACAGCTCAACAGTCAACAGTTGAACGCCTTCAACACTATGAGCCTGCAGTCCTTCCAGACTCAGCACTATGGCAGCGGTGCTGAGAGCTATCAGAGCTACGGACAAGCGAGCGTTGCTGCCGCCGCAGCGACCACCGCCGGCTATCCTCAGCATTACAACTATGGAGAGAACTACTATGCGGCGCAGCAGCAGTGGCCACGGGCGACCCCGGAAAATTACGGGTAAGTTTCGACAATCACATGACACGCTGCATCTATAAGGCGAATACACGAAACAGAGAACAAAGATGGAAAATCGGCCGGTCGCGAATCGCACAATGTCCTTTCTATCTTATAATTCTGCAAATATCGTCGAATCTTCCAAAACAGAAATGTTGTGCTTCTCAAGATCTTCCAACGATCCTTCGAGTTGAATTTGCAAGGTTGCAAGCACAGAAACGAAATTTCGACTTGGGTCCAGATGGGGAGACAGAGAGAAAGAGAGAGAGAGAGAGAGAGAGAGAGTGTGTGTCACGTGTGAGTCACGTCACTTGCTAATATGCAATACACAGCACGTTTCTCAGCACGTTTCTCGTTGAAACGAAATGGAATTTCGCCGTTTGCACCGCCGTGTTCCGCGTGACTATCGCGACCGCAAACACCCCCGCAACGATTACCCCCCCCCTCCGCGACTGGACGGCGCTACCTCGCGGTGTAGCGATCGGTTAAAGCTGGATCACGGCGCGGCTACGTACACCCTACGCGAAGCGTCGAAGGATCAAGACCCGGGTTGGATTATTAGCCGGTAGCGTTTCATTACGGGGGCCGAAGAAGCAACATAATTGAGGACCACACAGAAAACGTGTCGGTGGAGCCCCGTTGGCGCTCTCTCTTTCTCTCTCTCCCCCCCCCTCTCTCTCTCTCTCTCTCTCTGTCTGTCTCTTTCTCTCGCTCTTTCTCTCTCCCTCATCCTGTCTCTCTCTCTCTCTCTCTCTCTCTCTCTCTCTCTCTCTCTCTCTCTCTCTCTCTCTCCCTCTCTTTCGCTTCCTCGTTCTCTCCACTTTCTCTCTTTCTCTCCGCTGAATCGGCTCGTCCGCTCGGCGTGTAACAACACACTGTAGCAAGCCGGCCACCGGGGCAACCTGTTATTACGCCACAATGGCTGAATTAATTGTTCGAAACATCCCGGCTTCGCCGTCTTTATCTCCGCGCGTTGCCGCGTGCGCCTCTTTCTCGCGGCTATGCTTCCAACTTTCCGTCTCGCTCGGGCACTCGCAACCACCGACTCGCGCTCGTCGCTCGACCATCACGTGGTGCACGGAGTGTTCGGTCAGTTTTAAACATCCGGGATAATGCTCGCGGACCCCCGGTAGAGCGTCGGACTGTCTCGTGGGGGGTCTCTCTCTCCCTGCCGTCGGCTCTGCCGTCCGAGCCGACGATTTTTCGCTATTGCTGTCGATGGCTGTCGCAGTTTTTGTCGTTACGCGTTTAGGTAGCACAGAAACTATACCGAGTGTCGTGAAACGATCGTTAATCGTTGAGCTGCGTTGATAACGTTCCTCGGCGGTAAGGAGAAAAGAAAAAGGGAAAAGAGTGCTTGGGACAGTAGGAAATTATCGCGTTTCGCGATTAGGTCGCGGTTGGCGTGGATGCGATTGCGGTGGAATATGTTGAGAGATGAGCTGCGACAACGATAAATTCCTTATTCCATCCGTTAGTGAGAGGGAAAGAATAAACTGTCGCGGTGAAAATTCGCGATGGAAAAAAAATGGAAGGTAAAGATCCTCTCTGAGCCGATTTGCCTCTGGAGAGAATATTTGACGCAAGTTTTATATTTCATCTGTTATACGCGCAGATCAATCTCAATTTCGGCGAATTGTAGACAGTAAATTCTGCCACCGCTAAATTCTTAAGAATTCGTTAACGCGACCATAGAAGAGAGTTGATTTGTGAGCGGAGGGACGGGACATTCTTCCGCACGAAAATAGATTCGTAGACCGGTCACGAGATATAGTCGATAAATCGCGCGGCTTCCGCCATAGAGAGATCGCGCCACCTTCTAAATAAAAAAGTTATATGCGCGAATTAGGTCCGACACCGGTGAGATTTAGGGTGCTTAACCGTCGAGGTCAAGGGGCTGCGCTTTAAAATCATTCGTTACCGATACGCTTTAATCTCTCTAGTCTCTCGAAACATTGGTACTTCTTCAAACAAAAAAAAGGAAAAGGGAAATTTTGTGGTTACTCTGATTAACAAATTAAGTGCCGTGACGATTCACCACGATGACCGGCGTTTTCAATATTACTCTTTCATTACGTTACATATAAAGTATAATTAATTGAATTGGAACAATCGATTGTACAGTTAACAGAGAGCTAATGGAACGAGATAAAAGTTAGATGCATCTCCAATTAAATTCATTAATCATATCTCTGATAATTCCACCATCAGCTTAAGCTTTTGTACAATCAGCGGAAACGAACGCGGCAATATCAACGTGTTTTTGAAGACTAATTTTGGAGCTCGAATTTCTCATCGAGAAATTTTCTTATTGTACGAGCTATTTGATATTTCTTCGACGTGTAGAAATGAGATACGCGGCAAGTGGATCCTACTTGTCTCCATTTGTTATGATTTCCGGATCGAGGATACGAGAAACACTTGTGTGTGCCCTTCTGTTTATTACGATAATCACCGCAATCTCCCGACAGTTCGGAATGTTTAAAAAGCGACCGGATAATATTGAAAGCAAAGGCGAGACTGCCTTTCACGAGACACGACTCCGGGCCCTTAATCACGGTGGTATACCGAAATCCTCAAAGGGCCGCGAAGGCGTTCGGAAATCGACCGCTGCCGCAGCCCTCGACACGCCCTAACCGATTCGCAGTGCGTGTATGAGTGTATATACGGTATCGGCTTGCAAACGGCGGTAACTTTGAGAGCCACGGCGGAATTTCATTTTCGTATTAGCACACGTGGACACCTTTCACCATTGTAACTACGATTCATTTCGTCGTGTCGCGGTAACGTCCGCCGCTACATGTGCACTCGCGATAACGCGCGCGCGCACGCACGCACGCTTCGACGCGCATACAATAGTTAATTTATATTCAACATATTGAACGGAGAAGGTTAATTACAAATATCAGCGGATAATGCATTCCTTGCTCTGCCTATTGATCTCTCCGCCGCGCCGCGCCGCGCCGCGCCGCGAGACATTCTCTCTCGTTCGTGCAACCAAGCCCGATGCGCGACTGTCCCGCGCGATTCGTCGGAAAAAATTGTTTCCCTTGATTCCCCGACATTCGGACGTCGCGACTTTATGCGTTCCAGATTGTTCAACGCCTCCCATTACGGCAGCGGCAACCTTGCCTCCAACTTGACTTCCAGCAATCTCAATCTGGGCAGTCTGGGTGGCAGCGTAAGCCCGACCGCGTCTAACATGAGCGCCTGCATGGTGCAAAGTGCATCCTCCTCCGGGGTACCAGCCCCGACGGGAATGACGCACCATGTGACACCACACAGCCCCAGCGAGGCTAAAAGCGGATATCCGTACTTGGGTGGCATTGACTCCCAGGTTTGCGGAAGAGTTCACTGAAGCGCTAAGTAATTCTTCGTCGTGAGGATTACTCGTCATCGACGAGTCGGTCGCGTGTGCGCGATTACACGCAATACACGATGATACGCGGTGTAAAAAGGGAGCCTAATTGAATATAGTCGCTTCATCGTTATTGTCATCTGTTCTAATCCCTTTCGATTCAAAGTTCGTTGTAAGAATGTTCGCGTAAAACACGAAAAAAAAAGCATCCATGTGCTTATAAAAATTTGCAATGTTTTCTTAGCTTCTGTTGTTTAATGTTGTTGTTGTTACTCTCACGTGTATACTTTTTCTTTGCTTAAAAGACGAAAAGACTCGATGTTAATTAACGCTCATAGGACGAAGGTATCTCATACAAAGATTATAGATTTCGGAACATAGTCGAAATTATTTTATACTTCCCCAAATTGTGTTCCTTCTTTTTAAGATTGTAATAACAATCAATAATAATAACACAAAAATGAAATATGTGTTAATGAAAATAACACGAAAAAGTAAACCTCTCTTTTTGTTGGCTGTCTTTTTCTTGGCTCTATCTTCAACGTCTGAGTGTTAATAATGTTTCTGCAAATATAAAGATTATATAAACTGCGTAAAAATTATGAAAAATCGCGAAAATCGTAGTCATTGAATTGTTATAAATTATTCAGCGGTGTAACTATATAGATTACAAAGCGAGTTTAGAATTCGAATTTTAATGAGAAACTTTTTATTTATAGACACGCGCTTGCTGCGTGACGATCGATACGCAGCGGGTAATCGAATGTAAATATATCGTAGTCGCTTAGATAGTATCACTCCAATGATGCTACCGCATATTTATGTTAGATTAAAACCGTCGTTAATTCGTACGCATATAGATATAGGCCGCGCACCGATTTATGTGTCGTAATTAAGCCACGATTTATCTGTTATCATAGCTAGCAATTACGTACAATTGTAACCACTACAATTGCCTCGATGTTTTAGCGCTTTAGAAAATCGCCTTATCATAGTTGCTGTACTATATAAGTATCTATCTGTGAATAAACGTATCAAATATAAATATATTTTATCACGTACACGCATCTACGCGCGCGCGAAAAATGGTAATGGCGGAACGTAGAGAAAAGCGATCTAAAAAGTATTCTTATCGTAATCGATGTTGCGATCTTGCCCGACGAATTATTTAATTGGTCAATTACTTAAGATTATTGTACAGGACGACGACAGTGTCCGCATAACGCACCTAACGCATAACGATTACACCCGAATTGTATAATGCAATGTTACATAATAAATGAATTTTACGAAAAATGTGGTTCGCATCCTTCAGTTATATTCTCTCTCACCAACAGTTTACCGACAAGACCAGAGAGAGTCTTTTAATTTATTATTTAATTCATTCATTCATTACATTTCTGTTTGTCTCTCCCGGGCATGAAAACGAAGTGAATCCGGGAAACAAAGTATTTGCGAAAACTTTATATATCGTTATATATATACTTTATATATATATATATAGTTTACCGCGCAATCTTTCACGAGATTCGGAAAGGAGCGCCAAACCGAGAGAGACGTAGAGAAGAACAGAAGAAAAAATCACCGCGAATACCTAATTCACGATTGGTCCGGAATCGTCAGATTCGTCTCCCGGTTTTGAGCCGCCCTCGCAAGAGCGCCGTTGATCACATCTCCCACGGCTTCCAGAAGAGCCGACAATCGGGCGCACGCGGTGACAACGAGCAATCAGCCTGCCGTATATCTACGGGTCCTGTCGCCACGCATTTGTGCCCCATTGTGTCGGCCGTGTAGGTGGTCGCGGACCTTCTCTTTCCGTCCGTCCGTCTGTCTTTTACTCCGCGATCCTAGGCGCACGAAACCTCTGCGTAACGATTCGCACTCTCAGACTGCATAACCCAACCTTCCTCCGTACTCCTCATTGAGCTAGCGCGGATCAAACTATTACGACCTCCCAACTTCGTGCCCCATATAATCGTCTGTGATTGTTGAAATAACTGCAAAGTGCAAAAGTGCTCTCGTTGTCAAAAGGATTTTCGGATTTCCTTCGGCTTTTGCGATGAAGTCGACCGCGCGGTCGGTTTTCTCGCGACACTTCATGATACTACTGGAATTTTATGATACGGGAAAAATTTTTTCACCCTAATTCTAAGATCGTATTATATATATATATATATATATTTTTTTTTAATTTTTTCTTTTCTCGGATTCCATACCGGATATCATTGGGCTGTCTCCATGATTCGCCATTCAACGACGTCCGCCCATATTCCAACCCCCTATAAGCGGAATATAGGGTTGCTTCAAGAGCGGCTCCTTTGAGACTCGCCTTCCTCTTTCTCGTCGCCAATCGTTACCAAATATCTCCCCCAATCTGTTACCCTAGAATTGTACCCCAATGGCGATGTGGTAGGTCAAGAACCGACACGACAGCGCGGTCGTATATCGTTCCGTGAGAACCACCTCCAAGAACCACCTCCAAAAATTTGTTGCATAGCCGTTCTTTTATCCTTCGTTGACTTTAACAATCTCTAATTATAATTCAAATTCAAAGCAAAGTGGAATTTTAACGTGGCACAAGGAGCAACTTTAACTCTCGAGAGTTTTCCCGAAACTTCCCGAGTTTTCCTCGGGAAATGTTTTTCCGGTATCATAAAATTCCAGTATCACGAAGTATCGCGCGCGATCGACTTCATCGCGAAAATCGTTGAATCAAATCTTCGGAAACTCCAACGAGTGGCAACGAGAGCGCACTTTCGCACTCTGCGATCATCTCAACAATCGCAAACGATTATATATCGTTATTCCTCGCCCCTCTCTTTTTCTTCTCGAAATCTCATCTTCTACTATAAATTTTTAAGTATACATGTGTCAATCTTTAGCGCTCACTGCGTTTTCCAAGCAGAACAGATGTATCGGGCAACTGCAAAGCTGATAAGTGTGACGACCTCCCAAGCTTAAAGCGCACCCCGACGATGGAAATCTAAGGGCGGCGTCACGGCCGCCGATCCGTGCGTACGCGTACGTTGCGTGACTTCGGACTATATGCGCCATTATCCATATTTGTAACATATACTTTGTACGATATAAAGTCGTTCTGTACGCCACGAAGAGGCTGGTGCGATTACCCTCCGGGATTGATCTTAGACGATAACTTCGTACAAATTTCCACATCATCATCGTCACAATCGTAATTGCTAGTATTATTTAACGTCTCGAAGATAAATATACATCGAGTGCAACGAGACATCGCGAGAGTTGAGCCGTTGAGCAAGGAGGACAAGGTGGCAAAACCAAATGTTTCCGACACCTTGAAAGAAGGACTGCTTCCCGCGCGGTAATTGTTCTCATTAACTGTCTCGGTCGTAACACTACGGAACCGCGGAAATTCCACGTGGAAGCTGATCGCTCGATCGTGCAAAATCCTTTCACTCGTAACCGCTTTGCGTCACCCGCTGCGAACTCACGGTTCTTCGACGCACAAGTGTCTCGAAACCGTAAACTTCTAAGACTGATTTATCGTCCTAGTCATCGGGTGTAATCGCCGGTACGCCAGCGGCAATAATAATTCACGATAAAAACATGTTTCCCCGTGTATATTTAAGATGTTTGTGAATTTATGTTCCGACTTGACTAATTGAGAAAGACTGCGCGTGAGTTTGATGTTACCAGCACTGTCGCGCATAGTGAAATACGCGACGCGAAAGTCTGGCTCTTCGATTCGTCCGATCGCGGCGCGGCGCGGCGCGGCGCGGCGGACTGCGCAGCAACAGATAACCGCGATCGCCGAAATACCGCTATCTGTTAATCGCGTTACTTTTACCCCTCTTTTATCCCATCTTTTTTTTTCAATTTGTGGATTTACTCCACGGACGAAGCGTCGACTACCGTTGGGGGGAAATAAAATGAGCGAAAAACACACAGAACCAGTTCACGCGGGCATGATGGCTGCCCTCCCTTAATGGCAATACAGCCCCCCGTGCGGTACATCGTCGGTCCTTTTCAACCAATGGGATTGCCTGCCGTGTTTCGAACAATGGTTCGCCCGAATAGATTAATCAAACTTAACCGAGCCAATGAAAGCCGTGCAAATCCCGCGTGGGGGATGCTTTGCGTGCGTGCGTGCGTGCGTGCGTGCGTGCGTGCGTGCGTGCGTGCGTGCGTGCGTGCGTGCGACTGCAAACGAGCAGTTGCATGCTCGCCCATTGCATCCTAGCGAAATAATGTCGGGGACTATGAGAATATATCGCGCAACGAGACTCGCATCATGGTGTTGCGAATTTAATGACGATCTCGAATCGCTAATGCTCAACAATGTCGACACAAGACTTTTGATACGCAGGACGCCCTCGCGCGAAACATACCGCGCGAGTCCCGCGACGTCATTCGCGAAATCCGAGGAGGACCTCCTTTTCACGGAGACACGGAGACCGTTGCGTGGAAATTCAGACTTCGACTTTCGACCAAGATCAATCGTAATTAATCGCTGCGACAAGATCGCTTACTTTCCAAAGGCGGAGCAAGGAGCTCCCCGTCCGCGGATCGTTTATCTTGCGCGGCCGCAAAATGCGGCCGCGGAGCGAGAAGGATAACGCGCGGCGTCCGGCGAGGAGGAAGCTTCTTCGAGGTGTGTTCTAACGAACTTTGAAATGGCATCGGCGTGATTTAGATACGCGGGGATCGGAAAGCAAGCGGCGGGAAGGAGGGATTTTTTTCAGGGGGCTGTTGCGCGCTGTACATAACCAGGGCCTTGATGAATGAACCAGGGGGCTTCGCGTACCACCTCGGCCGGCGTTACCCACACGGCAGCTGGCTACGCCGCGCTGATTGGACGCGCATCACGCCGCGTTTGTGGATCTTTTGCAAAGCGATCCACGTATATACGCGTAGAATGCCCCAACCAGGACCTCCGTAGATGCGCCTTGTTCTCGCCGGGGGTACCGACGGGGGTACGCTCGCCACGTCACGGGGCCACCTATAGCCGCGCGATTGGCGGATTACGCGTCTCGTAAATCGACGTTTTATCCATTTAACGAGAATCTATTGGACGATATTGAATTGTTATTGCGTCCGCCGCGCCGGTTACGATCCGCTTGCAAAACTGTGCAAATCTTGAGCATCTGATGCTCAACGATCTAATTATGCAGCGTCAATGCGTGCTTCAACAATGAGATCTTTATCAGCAAAAAGCTACCTCCCGCCGCGTAATTTACAATTATCCTTTGTCCGTTCTGGTTGCCAGGAAAGCAATAGCCGTTGGTGGAATCTTCCGGACGGTCGACGCGAATCCCGGCGCGAATACTCGGATCGCTCCGGAGACCTGCTTACTCTTTCTAGTCACGAGGCTCTCGAAGAGAGGGGGTTCCCACGTCTTTTGAGCAGAACTAAGTTCGTAAC